CATGACAAGGCAGCTATCCATGAAGGGACTATGGACAGTAGTGGACCTCAAAGAATGGGTTCTCCTCACGTATACCATGCTTTGGCTTTTTGGAATTTTTGCTTGCAGATTTCTAACATAAGTATCTGGATTGTTCTTGCAGGAACACTGCCAAACCATTTCTGATGAACAACCTAATTCATGAAGTAAAGGTCTTGTTACCTTTTCGGCATACTTATTTAGGGCAGAAAATATTTACTGCAATTGAGATTACTCTTGCTTGTGCACCAGTTACACTTTGAAAGAGGAACCATGATTATATTTTGCTGTTACCTCTTTTCCCCATAGTCTTTCAGATGTACTTTTGAATGGATATTTAACAGCTATTAATGTGTTCTTGCACAGGCCTGTTTTTTGTGTAGCCTCAATTTTAAGCACTGGAGCACTTGATGAAGTGTTTGTGTAATTGAACACTCATACTTCAGCGCATCTAAAACTTCAGCACTATGTAAACAAAATGGCTAAATAATTAGAACTGGTTAAATTTGAATTGACAGGTGTATTCTCTACATAAGTGAAACTGAATGTAGAATTCATCTTGCATGCTTTCTACAAGTCTGTTGACTGCCTTTTCCCCCTATTACTTTGCTTTGCAAATTTAACCTCCTAGGTCCATAATTTGTATTTCTTTGTAATATTTTTTTTAAAAAAAATCTGATTCCATAGTAGATATCCTATATGATTATTACTGGGAACCCAACATAATGGTCACTGGCTGAACTTAACAGAGTTGTTTTCTAAATTGTGTGGTGTGCGCTCTATATTCAAATGACTTAAAACAATTCAACAAAATAGCACCAGAAATGGGACACAATTCCACTAGGACTTGTGTTTCCCTGCAAGTTATTGTTCCCTGGTTTAATTACTTAGAGGCACTTGATCAGAGCTGTTTTGCTCAACAAATGCAAAATCATATATACACTAATAATACACAGATCTTTAGATGAGGAAAAAAAACTGGTTATAGCCTATCAATATTTTATGTTCCATCGCCCATTAGAAGAACAAACCTTAGCTTGTTGAATGGGACCAGAGCTTGGAAGTAATAGGCTACAAGTTACAATGTTGCCTTAATATGTTACTTTTAGTACAATGATGCTACTAGATTATTACTACTTTAAAGTAACTACAGTACCTGTATTAGAAATTGCACTGGAACAGCAACAAACCAACTCACTTTATGGCCACTGACCACCTGGACAATGGCTGAAGTCAAGGAAAAGTTTTTTGCACATCTCAAAACTGTTTCTGCAGGCTATACCCCCAAATCTGCAAACTTCTAGATTTTGGACCATCCTAGATATTTCATCCCCCCTCTCCTGCAGCTGTGCTTCCTGAGAGTCATAGTTCTTCAGGAGGTGCCCTCTATGGAGACTAATAGGCAGCAAGACTGTGACTCCCAGCATCTTCTATGTCCAGGAGGGTTTAACTCCTCCCCAAAGTTGGTCAAGTGGTTATTGGGATGGTTGACCCTCCAGGTGTGAAAAACACAACACAGTGCTATAAGCCACTCTTTTAGCTACAATTAATGGAAAATAGTTACTTTTCCAAAGTAACAAATTACTTTAGTAATTAATATTTCAAGCTCTTAATACGATTTGCCCTTGCTCTTTCTGCCTTGCCTACCCCCTACATATACTCTGGAGGGTCCCTCACTCCTCACAGGTGATCTTGTTGAGAGGATCCTCAGCGTGCAAAGGTAGTGAGTAATTCATTGCCACCTGTGATGTCTCTTTGCTGGCAGATTGACACAGTGGATAAAACTCATTGCTTTCTTCTTTGAATCCAATATTAAGTGTTCCAAACTGAACTATCTCCAATAGCAAAGCCTGCTATCCTTCCCTTATAACTACTAGTAGAGTTGTTTTAATGAGAAGCTACATATTAATGTATCAATATAATCATAGGAATCTATAGATAATTATTGCTCCACATATAGTAGGAATGAGTGCTGATCGCAAAATTTATGTTAGTCTATGAAAACTGAATCATCATAGTCTTATGCTAAAATTCAGTCTTTGTTCCCAAAGGCTTCACATTTTCTTGCTAAAGGCTCCCTCTAGTGGTAGAACTTACACTATTTGAACTTCTGCAAACCTGCCTTATATTGCTTCCTTTTTTCCTGACTTGCATGTTTGAGATAACCAATCTTGAGTGGTGACAAAAAGTCTGGGCAGCCTAGTTAATGCTGAAGGCCATATTAGATACAATAATAATATTTTAATAAGCAAGGTGCTTAATGATCACCTTATAATTAAAATGAGGTTTCTTGTGTCCTAAACTGCAGAAATGCTTTTTGCATTTCTTTGCAAATAATGTTTGAATATTTTTGTGTTAAAGCCAACACAATGTAAGTGCAAGAATAGCTACAGAATCAAATGCCAGTGTAGCAGCATTGGTAGCTACTGCCTTCAGATCTCTTGAAACTACTGTAAGCTGCTCTCCACCAATCACATTACTTGCTGATGACCCTACTATCTATGGCAGGGATTGTGAAGAACCTTTGGCTTTCCAGCTATTTTGGACTTCATCTCCAATCATCTCAGTCTATAAATGATACAGAATAGTGGAAGTTTTGTTCAAAAACATCTGAATGGCCTCAGGTTTCTCTCCAGTGGGAGGTTTTATCAGATTTCACTTCATGGTATAAAGTTAGCTTTTTGCTGCTGATGTGCCACCATTTGATACCTTGTTTCCCTGAAAATAAGACCTAACCTGAAAATAAGCCCTAGTATGATTTTTTCAGGATGCTCATAATACCCCCATAATAAGCCCTCGTTCAGTTAAACCCCGCTCTTCACCATTGTGCAGCATTGTGCAGCAACCAGAAGAAGATGACATGTCTGTAAAATAAAACATCTCCTGAAAATAAGTCCTAATGCATTTTTGAGCAAAAATTAATATAAGACCCTGTCTTATTTTCGGGGAAACACAGTAATATATGCATGAATCAGCACAGGCACAGTTGTTGTAAAGTTACCAGATCAAACAAGTGCTGCTTTGTAATTTATGAAACAAATGGGTATATAACTGGTAAACTGTTCTGAAAGTGAAGTGTCATGTATGTGCTGGTGAGAAATTACTTATGCTTCATTATCATTTACTGAAGTTCTCTGACTGAAGACACTCTAGGTTAGATCTTATTCACACATGCATGGTATTCATTGTACATCCTCTGTCTTGATTTTGTTCTGTTCAGTGTCATTTCTGATCCTGTGGGTTATGGTTCCCAAAATCTTGTTGCACAGATATGCAAAAGACTTACCTTTTAGTAGTGAATTGCTGTAAGTTGCCATAGGCATTATCTGTTACATGCTGAACTGCACAACTCAATGCAACAGAGATAATGCCTATGGAGATTTTTTAAACTGGCAATTTGCTGTTAAATGTTATGCTTTCCGTGTAACTGCACAACAGGCTTATCTTACATGCTTATTAATTGTACTGTAGTGTTTCCAATATGAACAAAGAACGTTTCTGTATTGAAAATCTGTTGCAAGAATTTGTCAGACATTATATACAACAATAATAATAATGTGTTGTCAAGTTGATTCCCACTTATGGTGACTGTTTCTGGGTATAGAATACTCAGAAGTTGTTTACCATTCCCTTCTTCTGGAGACATCCTGTGACTGTGCAGCTTTGTTCCAGATCACACAGGCTGGCTGTACTCACAGGAGATACGATAGGAAATCAACCTCTCATTCTGTAGCCTGATATGTACATAAATCACTGAGCTACCTACGTAGTGTTTTATTATTTAATTATTTATTCAAAATATTTTTGCCCCACCTTTCTTATTAAAAATGATTCAAAGCGGCTTATATCATTAAAAGACAAGGTTAAAAGCGAAAAATAGTAAGTATAAAAATATCAAAAAGGATCAAACAAATACCCCACTAAAAATAGTAAACAAAAGCAACAAGAAAAACACATTCGGAGCAGTTGGGCACAACAATCCATTAAAAAAACAAAAACAAAACACAACTCATTCATGCAGCCAGTTGCGAACGGAAAGCTTGCCTGAAGAAAAAGGTCTTTGTCTGCTTGCAGAAGGATAGCAAAGATGGGGTCAGCATGGCCTCCTGTGGAAGGGAGTTCCAATGTCTGGGAGCAGGAACAGAAAATACTCTGTCCCATGTCTCCCCAAAATGCACCTGTGAAGGGATGGGGCCAAGAGAAAGGCCTCTCCTGTTGATATTAACAGCTGAGCTATTTTTCCTCTGTGAGAGAAATAGCTTGAACACTTGTCCACACTAACTTGTAGGTAGTGCTGTGAGTAATTTTTTTTCCAATTGGCTATTGGTCTGTTTTAGCCATATATTCGTAGAGACTGCAGTGAAGGTTATAAGTTTGAAGGGAAGGAGTGACTGAACTCGGTCTTTGTGAGGATGTGACAGATTAGGGCAGGGAAAATATCCACACCGAGTATACTACTTAGCCAGTGCCATCTACAATCTCATTGTAACTTCCTTTCATTTTGGACAAGAAGATATATAAGGAAGAAGATATAAGGAAACATAGCCACAAAGTGAAGAAATACATTTACTTTATTAATGATTAAACACAGAGTTGTTTTTAATATTTGTAGTTTTCATTTTATAATTGTAACGCAAGAAGTTATAACTATAATGTGCTATAGAGCCTCGTGGCACAGTAGTTAAACTGCTGTACTGCAGCCAAAACTGTGCTCATGACCTGGGGTTCAATCCCAGGTAGCGGCTCAAGGTTGACTCAGCCTTCTATCCTTCCGAGGTTGGTAAAATGAGTACCCAGCTTGCTGGGGGGGGGGCAATGTGTAGCCTGCATAATTAACTTCTAAATCGCCCAGAGGGTGCTTGAAGTGCTATGGGGCGGTATATAAGCAGCATGCTTTTTTGCTTTGCTGTTTGTCATTTCCCAGTATATGATGTTACTAGCTTTGTATGCATGTACTTCAAACTGCTTCCATTTTCTTACAGAAGAAAATACTAAGGAAGGTCTGCCAGTGCAGAGAAGTCTGAGTGAGAAAGTCTCCCTCTATAGAGGAGATATCACGGTGCTTGAAGTTGACGCCATAGTTAATGCTGGTAAGTTTTAAATTATTTTGTTAACATTTAAATGTTGGAGAGTTGTTCAGTAAAGTACAACTGGATTATGTTTGGAGTACAAGAAAATGAAGACCTGTAACTGGGTATACTTGATGCTGATAGAATTGAAATTCCATACTGGAATATCAAAAATATGTACAAGCTTTGTGGCCTTGTAGGTGAATTCCAGCTTTGTGTGAGTAACTATCTTTGTTCTTCCCCTTTTCCCTTGCAACTTTCATGCCCTCTGTGATTTTTTTTAATTATATTTTTTGCTTTTGGAGGGCTCTTCAGTCCTGTTGATCACCTAGAAGAGTGTTGTACTATGTACTGCTTCGGGCCTTGCCAGGATGCTGTTATGTGTGTAGGAATAAAGACTTTCAGGGTGGCTGAGATCTATCATATATAGTACTTTGTAGAAGGTCTTCTCCATCAAGGAGGCAGGAATTTTGTATTTGTGTCCAAGGTTGAGAATTATCATCTTCCTTGTGTTGGTGTCCCTCTGTCCAAAAACATTCTTCAGCTACTTCTGCAGTAATTTCTGTAAGGAATACACACACCCCTTTCTATGGACTCATCCACACAAGATGTTTGGCTCAGATTGTGGGTTAGAACTGTGGTTCCTTCCCCCCCAGATCCGAATTATTCACTCCAAGTGGCCACACCTGTTATTCTATTGGTTTCATGAAATTGACTATATTTGTCAATTTCATTTGAATTCCAGGGAGAGTTTCACATCAGGTGAAGAAACCCCTGGCAGGTGGTGGAGAAACCAACAGGAAGTTGCTAAAGTGGCAAGAAATGAGCTATGTTGTGGAGAGTGCCCCTGACATCACAGCTGATGTGAAGAGAGTTCTAGTTGTGCATGCTCCATAGCTGTGCTTGTCTGAGACAAGGCAACAGATGGGAATAACAGATCTGGAAGGATCTGAGTGGCAAAACAAACAAATGAAAAAACAGTTCCAAAATCAAGGAAAATAATCCTGAAATGGAAGGGAATTAAGAGAGATTGATTCAGGTCTTCAGTAATGACATGTAGATCTGTTAAACTAATAGAAATCAGTGATTGACTGAATTACCTCTTAGATTGGAGGAAACAGGATGTGTGGATTACCTTTCATGTTTTTTAAATATATACTAGATAATCAGTATGGTTACACTCGTTTTTAAGGAATGTGATCTAGAATGTGAGGAAAATAAGGTGCTGTTCTTTCTGTCAGTGATATATCTGAAATTACTGGAATAAAGTACACAGTAATTCACAGACTAAGAACAGACTTCTGTATTTTCTGCCCTTGTGGGGGAGTTGCATTACATCAAGTAAATTAACATTGTAATTCTTTGGTGCTAACAAACTCAGTGAATCAGGCAGTGAGTTTGTAATCTAGGATGTACTCTTTCTAGAACTGATTTATGTCACATAGCTTATTATTGAAATTGAAGTTCATAATTTGAAGCATGGAAGTCATAGAGTGAGGCTACACAAAGCAGGCAATTAATAGCATTCCTTCTTCCTGGTTTCATGTGAAATTTGCAATACAGTGTAAACCAGCCAAAGGCAGTAGAAGTCTGGATTTGGCTGTTGATAGTGGGGTAGTCTTAACATTACTTCATCTTTGAACTCTGGTATTTTCACTGTGGGCTAGCCTGGATGAAGTGTTGCTTCATTTCCTTTTTACATGGCACCTTCCCCCCGCCTACCCCATATTTTCAGTCTTACAGCTAATTGGATCAGTAGAAGTGCCCATGGCAGCATAGCATTAACCAAGACAAAATTTGCAAGCTTACTTCAAACCAGGTATGTCACAATGTATGGGAAGTGAACATGCCATGCTAATATAATAGTAACTAAAGTAAGGTTAGAGACAGAAAACTGGAGATGAAAGAAAACTTGCTAAACTCTTTCTTCTTACAGATTTAAACTGTTTTCTCTTGAGGGAACATCTTGACAAGGAATTTTCAGTCCCATAGTATCCCTTGTTTCCAGGGGAAAATAAGAGAAGATGGACTTATTTTCAGGGTGCATAAAATTATTATTATTTTTTAAATTAAGAAAAATCAGATTTAAATAAAAATTGTAGAAAGGTAATTAAAATATTTTGTTTTTTATCCACCTTGCAGTGATTTAAATTGATTTGATTCCACCCTGCTTTTTAAATTATTTTAAAAAAATCCATTAAGTCCTCCATAATCTACATAAATAGTCTTGGCAGAAGCTAGTGTCTTTGGCTCTTGAGAAACAAAGAGAATGTGCATATACCACACACATGTGCATTCATGCGCACATGCACACACACTGAGTGACTGGCCACTTGTAAAAAAAATGCAAACAATCCCTCTGTTGTTTCTAATGCACAAAAAAAACCCATATCACTAAAGAGCAGATATTGTTCTGGGTTAATTTGTGCAAGAATCTGTTCTTACTCCGGAACTCCTGTTAAGAGCGTAATGGAATGCTTCACTAGGTAGCAAGGGAAATACTTTTGCAGTTCATCATCCTCACAAATGAAGAAAAGAAAAGCTGAAGTTTACATCCCAATTGTATGGGAAGTATGCGTGCAGTGGGAGTGGAGCAAATGTGTCATAAGGGGGACCAGCATGGAAAGATTCTTAGGTTAATATTTGCAAATGGTATGTTTAGGTCCACAACATGAGCATGTGATACTCTTCTAATTCTCCATTAGAGAGAATTAGTGCAACAGATATTTGTCCCTTTCATCTGGAGAATGATAGACCTTTCCCTTCCAACCAAGAAATTGCTTAGAGAAAATGAATGTTGGGATCAATAACATCATTCTCTCTAATTTGCAATATTGTATCTGCTGAGGGATTTTAGAGGGATTGTATTATGTGTCTAAATACTCATTTTTGGGGACTTTTTCTAAGCAGGAAGCTTCAGTTTCAAACTTGAAAGTTCCCTTTGACTAAGAAAGAGTTCTTAGAAAACAAGCCAGTGTTTTCCTTCCCTTCTGAAAGCATGAGCCAATAGTAGCTCTTTTCTTGAATAGTCTATGTTTTGCTTAGCAGACCCTTCTGTCTGTTGTCAGGGACTAGCTTTACTGTGTTGTGCTTTGCCATATAGCCAATGGTTCTATTGTGCTGCTTCAAGCCATAATATCAACTGCTGTTGGCTTGGATACAGAGGGCTCCATGCTGTGTTCTTAATATACGCCAGGGCTTTTCTGGTCCTCTTCTTGCAGCCCTCTCTCCCCATTCCCTAAATATTTATCCCGAGAGTACAGGGACTCTCTGGAATTGTGTAGTAGAATGAAGCTGTGGTGGGATACTGGGGAATTAGGGATGTTCAGTTTCCTTGAAGTAAAATGTTACATTCAGGGCCTGAATCCACATTCTCTGTGTCACCTTGGCTAATTCAGAAAGGCCTACCTCTTCTGATATTTTCTCTGCAATTTTTTATCACTTATCCATGACTGCACTTGACAGATTATAACTGTTGTACTAGAGGTATCCTTGTCCTTGTCCCTTAGAAGACCATCCTGAGTATCAGGTTAGAACCATTTCAGATAGCTGAAATGCACAGAGATCCCATTCTGGATCAATATATTTTCTTTGGAGTATTTCCCCTTAACTAGTGGTCATGTTTAAAAACAGAGTGATACCATTTATGATCTCTTGCTTGATCATACCAATATAAATTTTCTTATCTCTGAATCTTTGAGGTGGAATCCAGTACAGTAATTTGAATCCTTCTCACTGGCTCCTCCACTAGTGTCAATGCACTGAGATAATGAAGATAAGTAGCTGCTTGGGCAGTAATGTTTACAAGGAATGAGGCTTTGTAGCTGGTAAATAACCTGAAGGGTTTAATGTGACTTCCAATTTACTTTTCTGATGGTGATGCTAAAATAAAAACAGAAATAGTTAGCACTGTGGTACAAGTACAATTTTAAGAAAGTTGACTTAAACATTTATTGTTTATACCAAATGTTCTGTTTTCCAGTGATATGTAGCAGCTCAGTTTGATAAATGCCTGCGTGGAAATAAATCCTGCTGTATTCAATGCAGTTTAGTTATTAAATAAAAGAATTAGGATGACATTAGAAAAAACTTCCACTTTGAGAATACAGTTTCATTATCTGAAATCAAATGGGGCCGAGAGTTTTACTGCTTGACTTTCCCCAAGGCTTCTTTTGACTTTCAGGGACTTTCTAGTTTGCCTTATTGAATCTTAATTTTATGAAGCATCTCATCTCTGTCAAGCCAAAATTAAACTTCAAGGTAGAAGTAGGATGTTTATGTATTGGAATTGTGTGCTGAATATATTAGCCATGAATTATGTTTAAATGAATCCATTAGTATAGACTGTTGACTAACAGCGCTACACCTTCCCACAAGAACAGCTTGTTAACGTATAATCAGTCACTGAAGTTGCCATGAATCTGGAGCTTAATGAACAGGTGAGGGAAAAGGAGGAATTTCAATCTGAAATTGATCTGACACCTTCTCACTGATTACCAATCCATTTTATTTGGCAACTTAATTCATCACACAGCTTAAAAATTTCTTCTTGTAGCTTTTTGGGAGAAAAATAATACAGAAGCATGCCCAGTAATACTCTGTTGAACTGGCCTAAGAGAAAAAATTCTGGTGAATAACTGCAGCTACGATTTCATGAGACCTTACTGTGATTGTGTTCCTGAGCATGTCACTTCACATACAAAGGTCCAGGTTTTTCTGGGTAAATTGTTGTCTCCTGTGATAGTTCTACATGTAGTGTCTGCACTACAAAGTTACTACTGGTAGCTCCCATGAGGTCTATTTACCCAGACCTCCTTCCTGCAAGATGATCCTCTGAAACCATCAACCTATTTGCTATTTCTCTGTAAACATGAACAGAAAATATGTTTTTTTCTTCCTAAATTCTTTTTTTATCTCAACAGTTCTCTCCTCAAAGTAGTCAGTTCTCCTTACTACAGTGGTTCCCAACCTTGGGTAACCCAGATGTTCTGACTGAAACTCCCAGAAGCCTTCACCATTAG